AACTGCATATCAATACGAATAAGTATTGATATTGGTTTCCGTTTCGGTTTTGCCACATTAGTATCAATACATGATATAATGTTAGTGGATGTTAGCTACCCGGTGGTTTACTACAAAACCAACAGAAATTCAACAATCAAATTCAAGTGATAAGTATTATAAGTATTATAAGAACTTTTATAAGTGTATCAAGTATTGTAAAGTTTTTAAAAGAATACCGTCAAAATGGGTTTCCCAAAGTTAAAATAGCTGCAAAAGAAATTGCTCTATTAATAGAAATACCAGGACAATTTCCCGAAGAATATCAAGTACGTAAACGACAAAAAAAAACACATTTCAGCTATGAAAACAGAGATGAAACGCCTCTTCATAATCCAGAAAAAAAATTTGAAGTGGAGTTTTTTCACACAATAATAGACACAGCCATTAATTCTTTGCGAGAAAGATTTGATGTGTTAAACCACCATTGTTTAAATTTTGGATTCTTATACAATATTAATTTATTAAAAAACTGGGAGCACGAAACATTAAATCATTGCAAAGATTTGGCTATTTTATTATCAGCAAAAGAAACATCCGATATCGACGCAGTAGAACTATTTGAAGAACTAAAAATATTTTGTCAACTTACCGAACCAAATAGTTCTCCCAACATAAATCTTGAGCTTATTTATAATAAAAAATTACAAGAGATTTACCCTAATATTACAATTAGTTTGAGAATCGTTCTAACGATTCCGGTCACTGTAGCGTCAGCTGAGAGGAGTTTTTCTGAGTTGAAACTTATTAAAAACCACCTCAGATCAACCATGAGCAATGAAAGGTTAACCGGATTAGCATTGTTATCCATTGAGTCCGATTTGGCGCAAGAATTGGATTTAGAAGACATCGTTCAAGACTTTGCTTCAAAAAAAGCAAGGAAAGTTAATTTTTAGTTTAGTACACTTCTGTGGACTGCGAATTGTAAACATTATAACTCAAGTTGAAATACATATTTTATATTAACTATTTTATTAATATTATAACTTTATAAGATTATTATTTTTATCATCATAGATATAAAACGTTTATTAATTTATGGAAATAACAATATTGTATTAACTTTTTGAAATTTATTAAATACAACAATAATTTAAAATTTAATTTGTAATATGTTATTTATTATATTAATAATGTGATAAAATTGTATACTATAATATATTTAGCTTTTGATTGAAAGGGGCGGCATTACGTTTGCCGAAGGGCGGAAAATTTCTTGCGACGGGCCTCAACTGAAGCGTTTTCATCACATATTTTACGAAAAACGACGTTATTCCTAATTTTCCAGTTGCTTAACCAACCTTGACTAGCTTTAAATTGTTTATGGCCGAGTTTAGTAGCAAAAAATTCAGCCTTCTCCTTTAAAATTGGTCCATTTATTGGATTGTTTAAATCTCTACATTGAATAAACCAATTGAGTAAACTAACCTCTATATCAGGATACTCACAAATCTTCATTCTTTTCATAGACCCTTTATTAGTTTCGTATTTTTGTAAAATATCGTCTTTATTTTTCAGAATAGTTGAAAGTGTACTGGATGGAGTATTGCTTTAGCAATTTCATTTTTTTGTTTACCACTTTTTGTCACCTCACTTATAATGTTCACTTTTTTAGCAATTGTTAATGTAACCAATTTACGTTTAAGAGACATAACTACAAATTGAACACGCTACACAGCGAAAATATACGGCAACTGCCGATTATTTTACAGCACAATTGTACATAGGATAATTTCATTTGTACATATGTGATTGTAAACCGGTTATTCTAACGATAAAATGTAAGAAATGTCTTCGAGTTATCTATGCTCAACTATTTTTATATTTGCCTAATCGCGACAAATGTTGCATTGAGTGTATAGGAATTGCCTAGGGACAAAAAAAAAATTCGAGTTATCGAGGTTCGAGTTATCGAGACTCGACTGTACATTATAATATACCTAATAGTTATTAATATATACCTTTTAAATCAAAAGATATCTTCTAGTTCCTACATTTTACATTTTACAATTTGCAGTTATGATAACGTTCTTGTATGATAAGCCAGCCAAATGCCTTACTGCGAAGAAAAAATAGGTCGACAATATCTTGAAAGATTAGGCGAAATAATACGAAACAAACGTGTAATACTATAATCGTACTATGGTATTACATTGACTATTTTGAGAAAAACATTTTTTGTCGCCCGGTGAAAATTCCTTATAAATGTACTGTGGTAAACCATAAACTATAACAGTTATGTAATATAAAAATACAATACAATAACATATATTTAGTCTACAATTTCAAATATTTCTGTTGAGTGGACATTTATTATTTTGATAGTATGAAAACTAGAAGTATTTTAAAAGTATTCGGAATACTTTTGAAGTATTCTAAATAATGTATTTGGAATATAATTTGTATAATGTATTTGAATACATATTCGGAATACTATTTTTTGTAAATATTCGAGTATTTATTCTAAATACTTTTAAAAAGTATTTTACCCAAGTCTGTTAGATAGTTATTGCTGTTTTGATTTTTTTTTTCAAATGTATCTGGTATGTATAATGATTTATTTAATGAAATGGTCGAAGTGCAAAGAAAAGAGTAAAATACGTAAGTAGTATGTTCAAATTTTGAAAATTTGATTCAAAACTCATATCATTATCGTGTTATAGTGATTTGATATAACAGTCTAACATTATAATAGTGGTGAATAAATTACGGGCATGCGCAGAATGCATTAGGTGCATTCCTGTGTTTAGATGCTCCTCTCTATGGCTGCATCATAGAGTAACGCTGCCTATGTTATTCTATGTGCTACATTAATTTTTCGTATCACCGAGGCACGATGTAGATTATCACCGTGCACTGAAGAAACCCGTGATTCGGGTCGTGAACACTAGAGACCTCTCGTAACATAATCTCTGTAATTGTGACTTTGCGTTTTACTGTGGTTGCGCGCTCAACAAATAACAATTAGCAATAGTCAACGATTGTGTCGATTGCAGTATTGTGTTCTAGTTTTTTATTAATTTATATATAAATACGTATAAGTCAATACTTATTAATCGAAATTTCCTAAGTTTCTATAGAATTTTGAACGTTCTTTCATTATCCGAACAACGTAATAGTTCTCAATACTCAATGGTAAGGATCTTCAGGAACACGTTTGGCTTTTAACTCTAGTATGGTGCAAATAAAATGAATTATGTTTTAGTTTTCTTTGAGTTTGTTCAATGACTTACTTCTACCATTCAACACGACTTACAGATGTTGGTCGGTGTCAATGCTTCCAGGCACTGAACGGGAAGATGTAGAACGTGGTGGAAAAAGTATTAATTGCTTTGGGTTTGATTTGGGTTTTGCACAATATTATACCTAAATATGATGGTTTTAGTTATAATGCCTCCTTCGGCTTTGGATACGTTAACTCGATTAAATATCAACTATCCCATGTTGTTCAAGCTTTCCAACAAAAAAAAAAACAGAATAACACACTGTGGAGTTTTAGAATTTATTGCAGATGAAGATAAAGTATACATTCCATATTGGGTAAGTATAATTATATATATTATAATTGCAACCAAAACATATGGTGTATTTGTTTTATTTTGTTGTTTAGATGATGAAAAATCTCTTATTAGATGAAGGAGATATGGTTCAAGTAGAAAGTGTTTCATTAGCAGTAGCCACATTTTCAAAGTTCCAACCACAAAATTCTGAATTCCTAGACATTACTAATCCAAAAGCGGTTTTAGAAAATTGCTTACGTAATTTTGCTTGTCTTACTACTGGCGATGTCATAGCCATTAAGTACAATCAAAAAATTTATGAAATGTGTGTTTTGGAGACTAAACCGGGTAATGCTGTTAGTATCATTGAATGTGACATGAATGTGGAGTTTGCTGCACCAGTTGATTATAAAGAGCCTAAACATCAAAAAAAGGAAACTTCAGAAGAAATGATGGTTGATCCTGCTGATTTAATGCCAGAATCAACTGGCTTCATAGCTTTCAAAGGTTCAGGAAATAGACTAGATGGCAAAAAGAAAAAAGATAATGTTGATGATCAATTAAATCATGTAAAAGTAGCTTATCAAAGAGGTATACCTGACTATGACTATACTATAGGAACATTACAGTTCATAAGAAATATACGTCCTCTGATTAATGATAAAGAGGTAATTACTTTTATATTTTTCATATATTCTAGCATTTTGAGTTTTTAAACAATATAAAAATATTTTATTTCATTATTTCTTTTTGAGTGAATACAAATTTTATAATCATGAATATTACATTTTGAAAATATAAAATATATTTAATTTTCAGAATGAAAATCAAGATGGATTTAAAGCATTTGCAGGTTCTGGATCAGTACTAAAGACCAAAACTAAAAAGAAATAAAAATATTTTTATATTTCCAATCATGTACATATATGTTAATTATGAAAACAATTACTGTTAAATATAAAATAATTTATTAACATTGTTTACATTTTTATTATTATTTAAAACTAATATTAAAAGTTAAAAATTAATAATGATAATTCTATGAGAGCTGTAAAACATGTTCATAATACTATTTTTGTATTTTAATCACAGTTAATTAGGTTTCATTATTTTTGTATTTGAAAACCATCAAATGTGTGTTATTTCTATGTTTTATAGAATTCTATAGTAAATATTTAGAAAATAATTTAAGTTTATCTTAAAGCAATAAAATAGTAACTAATACTCATTGAATATATTTGTTGGATTCAGTGGTGTGCACAGGGGAGTGTCAGGAAAATATGATATCCCCCTTAAATAGTTTAAAGTATCTTTATAAATTATAAAATAATGACTAAAAGAAAAAGAAATTTTCATAATAAATCATCATCATTATCAACAAACATGAAAATTTAAATGACAAAAATAGATCAAATTATTCTACAAGTAACCCTAAATATAAATTTATTTTTTTTTTAATAAATAATTCCTTCCATTTAAGGAAAATTTAGTTCAAAATTTTAAAGTTTGATTATTAAATCATAAAAATATTATATCTAGCTTATGACTAGTTATATCTAAGGCTATGGCGTACATATTTTACATATTTATAAAAATTAAGTGCACTTGGCCTTCTAAGTGTAATAAAGACCTCTTTTCAAATGTATTCAAACTACTTTACATTTTTGTAACACTGCCTATTAATGTTCACACAAAAGTTCTACCACATTAAAATGAAAAAAGTCTGATCTTTGAAATTCTGTTGGCCATTTAAGGCTTGATATTTTAGGAGTTCTAAATATTCATCTTGAAGTTGAGGAGGTAATTAAAACATTGGCAAAATCGTCATACTGACTTTATTTTATAATTATGTATATTTTATGATTATATATATCTGCTTACCCTGAACACAAAGAACCTTGTTTTTAAAAATTCCAAAAATAAATAAAAAGCATAACATACATTTTTTATTTATTTATTCACTTTTTTTAAAAGAAATAATTTTTATTCTAAAATAATCAGTTATTTAGATGTTTGTGTGTATATTTTTACCAGAATTTTGAGGGCTTAAAATAACTTAATGGTAGGGGGCAGTGGCAATATTTTGAGTAACAGTGTCCAATATTAACACGATAACAAAATAGCCAAAAGATTTTTGTATTGTGTGGTAACACGCCGTCCAAAAACTACGCAGTACCTACTATTATAGCAAACGAGTACCTAATAAATTAACTGAGTAGTTTATATAAACGAAAATCCCCAACCCGTTTCCAGAATTAAATCCGTTAAATCTGATTCAAAAGAGCAGACAAAAGATTAAAAAATAATTGATACATTTACATGAACGTTATGAGCACATGAACTTACATGAGTACATGAGCTTCAGCTTAGTTTTTTGTTTATTGCTTATAATCATTACAGGTTATATATATACATATGTATACACAGATTTTTTTTATCTAAGGTGCTCACGCACACTAATAGTCAATTTAGATAACGCGTCTCTTCAGTAAATCAAATTTATATAATATATATATATATATTTATGTAACAACAACAAAAATACAGAATTCATGATAATAACCTTTGAATATAGATAACTATTGCTATTACGTATAACTATTACGATATAATCGTAGAAGTAATAATAACATGTAATTTAAATTTTGTTTTATGTATTCTGATTTTTTTACGTCTCCGCCCACCACTCCTCAGTAGACCGTCGAGTTCTCTTCCACTACTCCGTCGTCAAACAAATCCCCTACACTTCACTGCTCAATAGAAACGTCGCACTCATCACCACCACCACCACCATCGATTGACGATTACATTCAGAAACGTGATCGATAGTGATTTATTTTTTAGTCTTATTCAGTTATTCGATCTGTTGTCAACGTTTGTCGTCAGGCCGTAGCTGCGATTGACAAACGTTCAAACGTTCTTTTGTTTTAAGTCTCCAGTGGCACATGTTTTGTTTAGTTTTCTATCGTCAATTGATTGTGTCGAAGAAATTGTTGAGTATCTGGATCATAAACGATCTGTGTTCTGAACATACGGAAATATTCTGTGACGTACGTGTGTCATTATGTCTAACAAAAAAGGTGTAATCAGCTTAAGCTTTAATCAGGACCACAGTTAGTTATTCATTTTCCATTTGACTTTGAATGATGCTCATTGATTTCAAACGTGCTATTTCATGTTTTAGATTGCATTGCTTGCTGCACTGAAACTGGTCTTAGAGTATACAATGTTGAGCCTATGGTGCTGAAAGAACAATTTGGTAAGTTGTGATCTGATAAATTAATTGACCTTAACAACCTTCTTTCTGTAGTATGAAAAAAGTATTTAGAACTTTGAATCAGAGGTTGTAGAAAAACATCCATACAATCATTACACAGGGTGAAACATTTTGTGAATTTGTTAAGTTCTATACCTCAATTATTCATCATATTCAGTAACTAACTTCATTCATGAATGCAACTATTTTTCCTATTGGTTTTAGATTTTGGTGGTGTTGGGCAGTGTGCATTACTTCATCACACTAATTTTTTTGCCATAGTTGCTGGTGGAAAATACCCAAAAACTTCATTGAAAACTGTTTTATTTTATGATGCTGTGAAGAAGATATTTGTCTTGGAAACCAACTTTTCTTCTCCTGTCAAGGCTGTACGTATGAAAAGAGACAAGTTAGTAAAATTGTTTGTAAAAAAATTTAATATACTATTGGTTAAAAATGTTACTGTAATATTTGGTACTACTTTTTATTGATTGAATTACCTTAAATCTGGAAAAGACTATTGTTTAAATCATGAAAGGAATGTAAAATCAGTGTACAGGCATTGGATAGCTATGATATACTTGATATAATATATTATGAGTTCTATTGTAACATTTATACTAACTGTTCTCACTTAGGGCAATTATTGCAACTTTGGACAAAGTTTTTATATTTAATAGTCCTACACCATTTTATCATGTTGCTACCTTTGACACGCGCCCCAATCCTTTGGGCTTGTTACAAGTTACTCCTATGCATAATGCTGAAAGACAAATCCTTGTATATCCTGGAAATAAAATTGGAAGCATACATATTTTGGTAATATTTGAATATAATTTATTTAATATTTTGTATTACAAAATATCAGTATAATTTTAGGATCTGAAAAATTTGGAAGAAAATAGTTCCAGTGCACCTGCAATAATAAATGCTCATAATGGAGAGATAACATGTTTGGCTATTAATCAGGAAGGTACACTTATAGCTAGTGCAAGTGATAAAGGAACATTAATAAGAATCTGGGACACTATTCGGAAAACTAAAGTAGCTGAACTTAGGCGTGGAACAGATACAGCAACATTATATTGGTACGTTATTTTATAAATACTCAAATTTTTACGTTAGTAAATGCAATACATTTTATTATTTATAAAAAATATTGATAAAAAGCAATTTAAAATGAATTATATAATAGCAACATACAATTATTAACTTACTATTAATAAATAAATTAAAATATTGATATTGTTTCAGCATGAACTTCAGTCCAGATTCAGAATTCTTATGTTGTTCTAGTGACAAAGGCACGGTTCATATATTTGCGCTTAAAGATCCTGATTTAAATCGTAGATCAAGTCTTTCAACTTTGGGTTTTTTCAGTTCCTACATTGAATCACAGTGGGCTCTTGCAACTTTTACAGTCCCTCCAGAAGTTGCTTGTATATGTGCATTTGAGAATCAAAATACTGTTATGGGTGAGAGTAATATCACTTTTTAAATCCTTGATATTAACAGTGACATTGAATACTATTTATAAAATAACTCAAGCTTTAGTGAATGAATATTATAGAAATCAAAAACATTTTTATTAATACTGTAAGACGTAAAGATATGGGATTTTGCCAAATTAATGATTCACTTTTAACAACAAAATTATAGAATATTTTAACAAAAATTTACAAATGGCATACTTTTAATTGCATACATTTAAGCAATATGATCTGATTGTAAGCATAAAAAAATAATTTTGTTTTGAGAATCACATGTTTGCTTGATATAATTGTATATTTTCTTTTTATAAAAATATAATATTCTTCATTTTTTGTAAAAAGCAATTATTTTTAAATAGCAACCTTTTATTTTAAACTTAAATACAAATAAAAATTATTTAGAACTCTAGTCATGTTTTATAATTATAATTTAAAACAAATTTAAAATTTAAAATAAATATAATTGTATCATAGATTATTTAAAATCAAATTCTACAGAAAATAATTAATTTTGTATTAATTATGTATTTATTTTCATTTTGAAAAATTCTTTATAATCCGGATAGTTCAAGAAAAAATAAAACTAAATTTTAAATTATATAAAATTATTACACACACCAACAGATTAAATCAAGGTGTTATTCATTAACAATTTCTATACATATTGATAATATTACAATAATATACTTCAAATAATTTCGTGTCACTCAAATTTTACATATTTTTTATAATAATAAACTGCTATATAGCTGTATTTTATTACATGATGATATAACACTGATATTGTTTGGTCTGTTTTGAAAATGGTAAGACATAGTTTATTGATTCCCGATATTGTAAAATGTATTTACAATAATTCAATTACCTGAAATGTGACTACACTGATGTGAGATTGCATTGTTACAACCTGTTATTTTTATATACTCTGTTTGGAGTAATATGTATTGAAAGTCTAAATATTATCACATATTCATGCAATCTATATTTATATATCATTTTCTAAATATACAAACTAATGGCTCAAAATGTTGAAAATTCGTTATTGTCAATTCAGTGTTAAAATTATAACACGACAGCATTTATTTTCCTATCTGATCATACTGATTTAAAGTTATCTAATAATTGTTTTTAAATTAGGCTAGACTGAGTATAGTGCTTCAACTAGTTTTATCATAAATTGGTTAGAATTGAAATACTTCATAATTGGTTTAATTACTTAATTTAATTTGTATTTATGTTACAGCTGTTTGCCTGGATGGTACTTTTCATAAATATACATTTCTAAAGGATGGTAGTTGTAGACGCAAAGCATACCATGTATTTTTACATGATTGTCAAGATGAAGAAATTTAAATACATCTTTTGTTCCCCATGTTCTCATATTTAGTCAAATAAGTTTATAAGTTATGTCCAACCATCTATATTAATTTTGTAAAACGAACATGTTATATTTTTGTAAAATAATTTATGTACTATTTTTCTTGTTTATATTTTGAATAATCCAATTATTGTTATATTATATTTGATTGCAATTTAAAAAACAATTTTTTTTTTAATATTTGAGAATTTTATATGGCATCTACGGTTAATATTATGAAGTACATTGTTGGACTTTTCATATTATTTAACTTAAATTAGCTTCAAAGTAGCTTTATACATATTTTCCCAGTGATATCTTATAATATAGTTATTATTTAAATTTAGTCGAGGTTTGTGATGTGTTTGTGTATTACGAGTATTATATGCTGGGCGTCAATTGTAATTTTTAAAGAGCTTTAAGTTTTATATTTTTATCAACTTTATAATTATATTTATATGTAAATTGTATCTTTGTGATATTGATTATCGCCTTGTATACAAAAATATACCGACCGGTAATTATTGCGTAGTATATGCATGTGCATTCATTACGTTTGCGTATACGTTTTGTTAAAAAAAATGATTCCATTTCAGTAATTTCACATGTTTTTTTTATTTCGTAACATTTTGGTTCCCCAACGTCATCAACCTAATGTCGTATATTCCATGATTCAGTGTGCGCTCAACGATTTTCCGTTCCATGACGATGGCGAGGTCGTTTGGGCGGCGCTTGATCAAGCAGCGGTACTCCTCGATAATCGTGGTGCCTGGACGGCGAGGTGGGGCGCAAAACACAAACAAAAGCCGCCACCGCCCGTTACCGACGTGCGTTGTGTGCGTCGCGACCATAGATAAAAAAATAACGTATATAAATCGTCGAATATTTCTAGTATTTGTAAATACAAATAGTGTGTGTGTATAACAAGTCGTTCGGTACGGTTTATTATGGTCGTGCATCACAGCGCGACGTCCGTCACTATGGAGGTGGACCCGCCACGGAACGCGAACAGCCCGGACGACCCGAAAATGGCCAATGGGTCGTCGGAAAACGAGAAAGCTGAAGACTCGGAATCATCAGAAGACGGTCCGTTAGACGTGGGTGAACATTATTTAGTTCGCCGGTACGACGACACATGGCGTGAGTACAGCACGATCATTAATACTGTTATTTAAGAGCTCGAAAAGGAAACGAAAAATATATACAAATCAAGCTTTCGATCTTTTTCTCTCGCGCGCGCGTGCTCGCGCTACACACCGACCCGGCCGGTGCGCACAACGTGATTCTTGTGTGTGTGTGCGTGCGCGCTATTTACTACGCGTACCTGCGAGTGCGAACGTCTCACCGCAGCGTGTTTATTATTATTATTTTGCCGCCGCCAACTAGGTACGCCACTGACGAAATGTTGTGCAATCTCCCGGTGAGCTGCAGCAACATGTGTGCGTGTACGTGTGTGTGTAATAAGTGTGATTATAAAATAATTATTACGATATCGAATATTATCGTTTCATATCTCTCTGAATTGCCCGCCTGTATTTTAGTAATATTCGTAAAAATGTGCTTTCCCCGGATTCCAGCTACTTGCGCTTCTCTTCTAATGTTCGTCTTGGACAACGTTTTCGTAACGTAGTTCTTCTCGTTTGCTTGGGAGCCGCGGGGAACCAGCGATGATGACGCGCGCGCGCGGTTCTTTTGTTCTCCGTGCGTGATCGGTGGGACTCCACTACTCCAGCGCCGTCGCTCCCCTCTCGCCTATAGCGTTGCCAGATCCGACGCACTATGTCGTCATATTGTTGTGGTCCCTCGACCTCTAAAAAAAAAAAAAACGTAAATAAATATACGATGACGTTTTTAGCTTCGAGATTCGCATCGTCTCACTCGTTCTTCTCTCTCTCACACCAGCCATCGTTCGTGCGCGTATTTTTTACCCGCCTATTTTTTTTCTGCTTTCCGGCCGGTTTTTTTCTACTCGCTCTTCGACGACATGCGGTACACAACTTCCACCGTTATTTGTTATTCGAAAATCTTTTTATTTTATGCTATTTTCTGGTTTATATTTAAATGTGATTTTGAAAAAAAAATGTTCACTCGTCATTCCCTGTCTCATTTTTCTATTTTCAACCCCATCGGCACTTTATATCAGCTACTAATTTTATTTCCACTGTCGTTTTTTATTGAACTTGCAAATTTACATGGAACTTAACAATGAGCATGCTTCGAAAAACGATGTATTTACCTCGGAAATGAGATAAATACTCGGTAATTCAGAACATACTCATATAATAAATAGCTTAAATATATATATACATATACTGACAATTAGGCTTGCATAATTTTTCTCCGTACAGATAAGAACGTGATATTTATTAGATAACTTATGAACAATATGTTGGCCCTATATAATGTTTTATTAAGTTAAAGGCAAATATATTTCCATTAGTATAAAACATTTACAGTTTTTAAATTTTATTAACTTTGATACTCATTTTGACACCAATTAATATATGAGGGTTAATAATATATCCAAATCTTCTTACACAGGCAGACACACATACGCATACATATTTTTAGCTTCTGTTATTTTAATAACCTACCTACATATTACAATAATACATAAAAAATAACTGACAATTCAGTAATTAAATAATGTATGTGTAAATTATTAAACAATAAATAAAAATAAATAAATTCAATAAGTTGTTATTTTAGGTATTTTTATCGATATTTATTACTATTTGAAAGTAGATGTTATATAGTATTTAAATATAAATTTGAATGTTTAATAATTAAACTTTCTCAACCTTCATTTTTTCAATATATCTTATTATTCTTTCAGTTTTATCAATTTTTTTTATTTTTATTATTAACACCATACCTAGATTATTAAAATTTAATTTAATTGGTAGCTCAATTGGTGATTAATGTTATTATTTAAATATTCCTGACCTGTTTATCTAATTTAGTAAGTTTCATAAATATATAATTTATTATCAATTGGTGTTTTAGATATGTTTTTAACAATTTTACAAGTTTCATATTTTGTCTGATCAATTCTTGAGTAATTTTTAACCTGAATTTTAACTATTAGCTTTATTTTTATATTTGTAAATATTTGAAGTATCAAAACATAAGGAATATCATAGGTTTTATTAATGATCAAATATTATTTCAATGAGTATTAATGACTCATCACTCATAAAAACCATATGTTTATTACCTTCATATACATAAATAAAATATTTTATGTTAGGTATTAACAATTTTAAACTGTTGTGTTTGACATGAGTCAATATTTACCTTTATGATCATTTTTTTAATTGTTTTCAATAAACTAGTGTTGAATTTATAGACATTTTAAACTAAATTGTCAAATTTTTAAAAATGTCTAGTACCTATTACAATTTATTCAAATGTATAGTATATAATAATTATTATACAATAAAATCAAATCAAAGGTATTAGTCATTGAGTATCTATACAGAATTAGATTACATTTATTGTTTATTTTTTTACACATATTTCATCACATGTTATCTTATTTAACACTGATATTTGCTATAAAACAGTCAGTATGCCATTAAAATAAATAAGGACAAAATGAATATTATCCTATTTAATTTTACATATTATTATTGAATTTATTTTCACAATTGTTTTACAAAAATATTCCTTGCATTTCAATTTTTTACTATTTTTATGAATCATATTTATTTTTACTATTTTATCTGTTATTGATCAACTGATAAACAAGTTCTTGTTTGTCTAATTATCATAAAACTATGGTTTATTTATTAAAATTTAATTTGAATAAAATTAGTAAAAAAAAAAAAAATGAATAAATAACATTTTTGATTTAAACTACAATTTGAATTATGAAAATGTTTAGCCTCTTCTTATGAGTACATATAAAAGTCATTCATTTTTGCACTGGAAATGTCTGGTAGCCCACTTTTGAGTTTTCAAAAAATATATTTTTACTCTGAATATGGGGGGGGGGGGGGGGAAAGATAATTTGCAAATAGTTTCTTCAATGGTTTCGTGTTTAAAATAAGTTGGGAAACACTGATTTATACATTATAAACTTATTGTTAAATAAAGGTTAGGTATTGCCATTTTGTAACTCATGTTTAAACAGTTAACCAAATCAATATAATAATTGGAAATAGATAACTAACTTGAGATACAGGTATTTACTATTTCAATGAGTTTTTTCATTTTACAGGATTGTAATTTTGGATTGTAATTTTTTAATGAAAACATAAATATATTACTTTATCTAATTTATTTTTGTTTGCATTTAATAAATATTTAATTAAAAATTAAATTATTTAAGGTATTTTATACTTAAAAGTTTTTTGAATTGTTTATTTTAAATGTAATACGTTTCAAATTTTATAGATCCAGCTGAAGTTTTACACACCAGGTTCAATGATCAAGAACATCATTTTGAATACTATGTACACTTTGAGGGATATAATCGAAGATTGGATCAATGGGTGAGAAGAGATAGGTAAGAATTATTTTTGGTGCAATTGATATTTTAATGATAATTTTATTATTGACTTATTATTGTATTATGGTTATAGGATAATGAATTCAAGATTTGATATATCGGAGAAAACTTGGAAACAAAAAGATGTAAATAAAATTTCAGATCTTCTAAATCAGTCTGATAGAAAGATTACTAGAAACCAAAAACGAAGACATGATGAAATAAATCATGTTCAAATGGTAAAAATAAATTAAATATTCATATTTTAATTACATGAGTAACTCTATAAATGTTTATTATTTTTTTTAAATTAGTCTTATGCAGATATGGACCCAACCACAGCTGCATTAGAAAAAGAACATGAGGCGATAACTAAAATTAAGTACATCAATAAAGTACAACTGGGAAAGTATGAAATTGACACATGGTATTTTAGTCCCTTTCCCGCAGAATACCAGAAAGAATCCAAAATTTGGATTTGTGAATACTGTTTAAAATACAGTAAATTAGAAAAATCATTCAAGTACCACATGGTTTGTAGTTATTTAAATCTCTTATTAATAATCCATTATTTAATAATAAAAAATATTCTCATATTAGAGCCAGTGCACATGGAGACAACCACCTGGTGTTGAGGTGTATCATAAAGGATCACTATCAATCTGGGAAGTTAATTCCAGTCAACATAAAATGTATTGTCAAAACCTTTGTTTATTAGCCAAGTTATTTTTAGATCACAAGACATTATATTTTGATGTTGAACCATTTTTATTTTACGTTCTTTGTGAAGTTGACAAAGTTGGTGCACATTTAGTTGGATATTTTTCAAAAGTATGTTTTTATTATAATTTGATAAACTTTGTAGAAAGTTGTGATTATTGATTTTCTTTAATTTTATGTGTAGGAAAAAGATTCACCAGACTGCAACAATGTTGCTTGTATATTGACAATGCCACCTTTCCAGCGTCAAGGCTATGGTAAATTATTAATAGCATTCAGCTATGAGCTGAGTAAGTTAGAAGGGCTTGTAGCCAGTCCGGAGAAGCCACTAAGTGATCTTGGTAAACTGTCATATAGATCTTATTGGTCTTGGGTACTATTGGAAATCTTGAAAAATACCTGTGGATCATTATCAATTAAAGACCTCAGGTATAAATATATTCAATAATAATAACATAAGAATTGAAAGTTAAAAATACCATCAATAATTGTATAATTTAATGCAGTGGGATGACTAGTATTACCCAGACAGACATCATATCAACATTACAGTCTATGAACATGGTTAAGTACTGGAAAGGTCAACATGTAATATGTGTGACACCAAAAAATGTTGAACAATTGGTTAGCTCAGAACAGTACAAGAGGCCCAGGTTCATAATAGATGCAAATGCTATTAAATGGACCCCAAAAAAGTATAATCCTCGACCTGGACCATCAAGGCATTCAAGAGCACAATACTTGGCTAGCTAAAGAAATTGATATAGAGTCTGTGGAAAAATTAACATACCTAGTAGTCATTTAAGATTTACCTAATGTAAATAGTTAATACTTTTTTACATATAAATTTTAATATATGTATTTTGGGAAGGCTTAAATGACAAGTGCTAATATCAGTTAAATTCTGTTGCTGTTTGTTAAGGACTGTTATGGATTATTAACAACATACTTTGAATTAAAATTTATATTTTTCCGGACTATTTTATATGTTCGATGATTGTTAGACTGTTAATGAAAGGTGTTGTAAATGATTAATGGCAAATACAATTGATATGACAAGGACATTAGCCTTGTGACATTTTTCGGCTTTTTACCCTAATACCCTATGGTGATTGTTTTACGTAGGTATACTATTATTATTAGGGTTTAGCGTGATAATATCATTGCTATTTTAAAATAAGTACCATATTGTCCCTTGTCATGCCTTTTCATCATGTGATAGATATTTATTTCAACTTTCCAAGTACACGCATAAGACATAAGTTGACATTTTAATTATCTCATTGTATTTCAATAATTTTCTATTTTATATCTTTTGTATTTATAAATTAATGTGCATATGCTTATGTTTTAGCGTAAACAAATAAAATAAATATGAACTATTGCATCAAAATTGGTTTTTTCATTTTTTTTTATCTATTTTATCTCCTTTTTTATATTTTTATTTTGGGTGATTTGCGAAACCTACTGAATCATTAATTTTCTTTTTCCAATTGTTGATTTCTAAATGTTAACTCTTTTGTTTCCTTTTTTACAATCCACTTTTAATAAACTACATGTCTTCGATATATATTTGTTTAAATCTCAAATATCTCAACTGTCTGATAATTTTTTTCTAGCTTTGAGCCATTTCTTAATATTTCAAGTTTTCCAGTAACAACTAAAAATTAACAAGTACTATTTAATTTATTTTTATTGTTATAAGAACTTCATAAAGTAATTTTCATTATTAAATGTTAACTTTTTAATGATTTGAAATATTTTTTTCTTCTCCCTAAATTGGAAAGTTTTAATTTGATATTAGTGATTGGTAATTAGTAGGGCAGAGGACTTGTAGCTCTAAAAAAAACACTTATGCATTAATATGCACTAAAAATATGCTCATATATATTTTTTAAAACAATTTATTTAAAAAATATAATTAAATAATTTAATTGCTATGTAACATTAAATTGTTTTTCATATCCTACTTTAAAATCGTAATACAGTATGAACTTACCGTCAGTCGAAAAAAAATATTAACATCAAATTCGATAAATAACTCTAACTGACTATTAAAGGACTTTATCTTTTGGCATTTTAATGACAAAATCAAAATATTGACACGAATTACGAATAGATGCATTTTCACAGAACTAATACTAAATAACTAAATTATTATTTACGAGTAATGATTGACAGCATTTGGTGTTATAAAATTTTTTGGTATCATATATGGAATAGTTGATGTTGTATTGGAAATTGTATAATGTAGACAAGTGTTTACTGTTTCTAAATACTATTAATGCAATTAGCAGTTCTCGAGATGTATTTCTAGAAAAAACATGAAAAACATGAGTTTACGAACAGTCAACAGCCATATGTATATATGATCAAAATTTAAAATTATTTATAATTCAATTCATATATTAGATGAAATAAAAATTCAGTGGAAAAGTATTGATTAAATGATAAATTATTTGAAATATGATTTTGAAAGTATAAATGGAAGAAATAAAATTAAAAAAAAAAAAACACAAATTATACGTTTATATGTGCAAATTAAAATTTCAAGACTAGCTTTATGAAAGCATGAAGTGTATTTGTTTCATACTCTGGCTATTTTTGTGATTGTGCAAAACAAATATGTAAATGCTATAAGCCTTCTTCCCTAGTAATTAGCTAATGATATTACATTAATTATAAATTACATAGGAGTTTGTTAATTATGGCTTATTATTTAGTCCAAATAGATTATTTTTTGTTATATACTGTTATTGAATTGCTCGCAATAATATAAAAATAAGCATGGAAATATTGAAAATTCTAACTTATAATAAAAACTATTTCAGATGCAAACTATCAATAAAAATGTACCTAGGTACTACAATTTTTCTATAGCTAAGAATGAACAGGTATATTGGGAATGTATCCCACATAAATAAATAATTTGTAAATATTTTTTAGATTTATACTAAACATAGGTATATTTTCAGTTTAAAAAATAATAACAGATTGGTAGTTAAATTGTAAATTGTGCAAATTGATTAATAAAAAAGAACTATTACCAAAAATTATTATTGATATTGTACTAAAAATTATAATCATATGGAAGTGGGGTAGAGGGGTACTTTGTATCATATCATTATACATTAAAATATGTGTAGTACGAGTTTTTATGAAAAATAGGGGCTGTGATTTGATTAATTTTTTTTATGAGTTATGAACGTCAGGTTGTGATTAGGATGGAGTGTATTTCCAAGTTTCATTTGGACTTGAAAATATACGAGTACATCAATGACGCTGAACTTCTTTTTTTTTTTTAATAAATACTTAGCGCTGGCTCTGGCCTTATAATATCAATTAAAATTTTAAAATATAAATCATAATTACCTGATCAATAATTAAGTCTTTTGAAGGTTCATTGGTATTTAATTTTCTTAAATTATTTAAATTATGAGGTTTTTTCCGGTGTGCAGACAACTTTGGTCGAATCTTTTTACGTCTACAGTCCCTCATTTTAATAATAAATGATTACAATAAACTTTTTTGTCTAGATTAGTTCAAAAATTGAATCAATAACACGTTGTAATAATACTCATCAATTCATCATTCATCAATACTTTTGATAACCGTTTGTAGAATGAGATATGATACAATATTATACTCGTATAATAATTGTAAATTGGAATCCACAAAACAAACAAAAATAATTTCATAGTACTGTGATGTGTAGCTATCGCTTATAATATTATTATTATTATAGTCAATACAATTTTATGATGTGTACAAAATTAGTTTTTTAATCGGTCGCGGCTCTAAACCGATGCGGTCGCTGCGCGTGTTATCGCAATTTCGAGAACACATTAATTCTCATACGCGCATGCACATGTCAACGACAAACGCATGAAACTATTTTTTTGTTCTTTTCAAATTGGTGAAAAGAGGTAAAAGCTGGAACAAAATTCGTCTAGTTCTGGTAATCCGATTATATTTTTTTTAATATATTCTAATTTCTCAACTTTTCTTCTATGTTTTGTAGGAAACAGATTTTTGATTATAGTTCAAGTTATTTAATAAAATGCATTCAAATTTTTATTTTTTTTTAAAAATTAGCATACAAGTTAATAAAAAATTAAGAAAAAATAATAAAATTGTGGTTCCTACAAAACATAGTAAAGAAGCTAACAAATTTAAATATTTTTTCAAAATTTAAATCGGACAATTAGAACTAGGTGAATTTTGTTCCAGCTTATTGGTCCAAATGCATGAAAAATGTAGGCTGCTCCAGCCGCCTTAAGGCCAAATAAAAATACTACGGCCACAAGCCTACATTTTACTTAGCATAGAAAAATAATTTGTGTTTTCAAATTACAAGTACTAAGCATAAGCTCAACTGGGGGGAGGCTTAAACCCCCAAGAATGCCCAAGCCTCCCCAAAAATAATTTAGGCAATTGTTTTTTAAATTTAAATAAATAACTCGTCTATATTTTTATTTTCAGAAAAAAAAAGATTTAAATTTGAGAGAAAAAAAATGATCGTTTTTATTTATTATTTGGTTAATATGACAATTTAATTTATTAACCAACCGATATATCCGTGCAGCTAATTTATTTTGTGATACTTGGTGAATGATAATCATTAATATAAGGCCGGCAACAAACTGGCGTTATTTTACCGCGGGACATTTTTACCATTTACTGCTCGTTTTAATTCATCCCAACACACGAGCGTTTATTTACGGCTCGTTTATTTAAGTATCTACCTACAATATTCACGATGATTACTCGTATATTTACTTATTTCATTAAACATTTATTAACTATTTAGTATGTGTCTGTTTAAACTAGACAACATCATGGCCAGTGGCGTAAACTGAGTGGTGCAAATGTAGCACTTGCAACACCACATATAAAAGGGGGCGCAAAGATATGTTTTTGCACCACCAGAAAATTATTGAAATTTGTTTACCTAATATTAAAATGACCTAAAATATTATTTTCAAGAGCCAAAGAAATCAGCATACTAAAGACAAAATTTGATTGTTTTTTTTTTTTTATTAATATTATACGAGTAATAATAAAGGTTTTACTGCTAAAATAATTCAAAATTTGTTTGTTACTTAAAGAAATATATAGGAAAATATATAGTTTATTGGGAAGAATTTTACTTAGGAAATTGGAAAATTGGTGTGTTGGAAATTATAAGTTGAGAATATGCCTCTGTACCACCAGAAATTGGATACAATTTACGCCACTGATCATGACAAACGAAAATATTTTATTTTTGGGTTACTATCATTTTATAAAAATAAAAATGATGTGTATTACCTACTGTAGTAGAGTACCTTCTATACACTAAATAGCCTATAATATGCAATTTTTCGTTAATTAGTTACAATAAACTATGTTAAAAATAATGTATATAATTCAACAATTCAAATAATCAAATTATGTATTTTTATAATGTGTGTGTATATATAAGACCAGCTTATGGGGAACCAAGACACCACAATTAAAGTTTATGATTTAAGCATTATTTCGACTAGTATTCGTATAATATAATAATTTATATAGACAAAATAATAAATTATACAAGAAAGGAAAACGTATTTTACATTTTTGGTCCTTATATTGAAGATGTTCAAACCCTTGTTTTATCTAACACTTCCCTCTAAACTTATCATTTTTCATTGCAGTTATCGAAAAAACTTATCTAACATTTTTTATCATAAAATAGGTTTATTTTCAATGAACGAAATGAAAAGCTCTATGTCTAGTTTTGTGTCTAACTGACTATTTTGTTCTACATTAATTTCAGATGACAAATTGTGATGTTGATTTCAGACTAATAACGTCTGATCGTGCCGACAAGTTGATTGTTAATACTCGATAATGATGAATGAACGAATATTGAAAATAAGTAATATTTAATAAGTAGATAAATAAATAATCGTGCGTTTTATTACTGCGTGTGTGTTCTTCACCTATCATTATAATACATTTCGATTGGGATTTCTCAACGCGCGATAAAGTTAAGGCACACGCGACAGTTTCTGAAATATCGTGCATTAATTGTACGGCGCGACACTCGTGTGTTGTGTTCTACTTGTATTCAACTTAATGTTTTTTAACAAAAACACGCAGTAAATTTACGGTGTGGTAAAATAACGCCCGTTTGTAGCCACTTTTCATAAATTACTATAGGAGACTTAGACCCTCCCTCCCCCAAACATTTATCCCTAGTTGACACTGTTATTAAGCATGATTCATATTAATCGTACCGTCAGACACCGTACCGTTCCGCAAAATATTTTATTATGTGTTTTAAATATGGTAATTCTCATTTGAACATTTCCGTTCCGTTCATACGCATATCGATCCGTCAGAGTCCATCCGGCATTGCTTGCGGGAATAACCGTGAAGTCAAAATATTGCAAAGTGCAAACCATAGATTGGCTCCTCTGATCCCCTGCTTTAGAGGCTAAAATTTATACTTTTTCGTACTGCACACTTAAGAATTTTGTTGATGATATATTTTGGAATTCTAGAAATATGAAAAATAATTTAATAAAAAAATGTAAAATCAAAAACAAATACTATAATAAAGAGAACTGAACCACAACACGTTTTTTAATTTTATACTACACGTTTAACATTTCGTATTACACAAAGTGTATTGTATCGCGCACAATTTTAGGCCCTGTCCTGCCTCATTTTAAAAATATGGTCAGGCCGTGGCCTGGCCTAAGCATAGGGTTCAGCACCACTAATATAAATCACAATAATTGTTGACTTTAACTATTTGTGAAAATATTTTATTTAATTTCAACTTAATTATAGAGTGATTACAATAATTTATTTCATGTATTTTAATAGATAATAGTACTTATTGTTATTGATCGTCGATTGAATCAAATTTTCTCAGATTAAAAAACTTTTAAGTATTGCTGATCTTGTTTCTTTGAAAATATCTCATATCTTCCTCCGTATTAGTAGTTGATTGGTTTAATTAAAATTAGAGAAGTTTTTTACAATATACGACAATAATATTATTCATATATAATCATAATTTAATCTACATTATAAATTTTTATCAAATTAGTTGTTTACATTTAAAGGCAATAGACATAAAATTTACGGAAGGGCGATAAACACAAAGAAAACAAACATTAATCATAGAGTTAACTCAATTAATATGAATTTTACATTTACATTTTTTTACGAATGTGTAGGCGAAAATTAAAAATTATTTCAACAATTTCTCGGTGACGCGTCGCCATAAAAATTAGTTGTCATTGAGTTTAGTTTGTTAACCGTTGACGATTGACATCATAATGTCACTCTTACTAAGAACCAGGGTTGGAATGGGTATGGAGGGCCTTACCGGGGATTGACATACAAAGGGCCTCAGCTTTAATTAAATTTACCATTCACATTTAAATTATTAGTTACTTATTAAAATTATATGATATTGATATTAATACGAATGTAGGTTCAATTAGAGGGATACTTGGCTCTCATATTTTTTAAAATAGCATTAGGTCAATGCACGCACGAGGGGGGCTAAATCAAATAAATAAATATGTTAGTCCCTCAAATGTTAATTGTAGTCCCAAAAATGAATACTAACAAAACAATTCTACATAAATACTAGGTTTATTTTACATAAATAACAAAAAAATAGTATATTTCTATAAACCTACTTGGTAAATTACAAATAATAAATAATAATTCAACAACTCTTAAAACTTTTTAATTTTAATATTTTAAAACAACAACCGTTTCATTTCACTTTATGTATTTGCAAATTTTTCAATAATATATTAATAATTACACTCTTAAATAATATTGGTATCAAAATCCAGTAAGATGAAAAATTTCGGTAAGTCTTGACCAATAAGAGATCAGAGTCGAGTCTTAATAATTTGGTATATTTCTACTTTACGGGACACGTTATTTTTTGCAATTTTTTTTTTTTAACTTATGTAGTTAAGTACGCTGAAAATGATGGTGAAGTTAGAATTTGGCGCTCGGACATAGTTTTGAAGTTATTGCACTTCAAAGTTACTATATATTATATTAAATAACTTAGAACATACATAACTTTCGAATGCGATGCTGTAGCCCAGTGGCAATATAGCTATCTCTAGGCAGTAAATGTCAAAAAAAAGGAAGGTGGACATACCTGCTGATCCTGGACCTAAGACCGTGGTTCAGCAGGGATTTCGGTGACACCAATTTTCACCTTACGCAGGCCCTGTCTGGACATGGATGCTTCTCCTACTATCTGCACCGTATCGGCAAATTAGGTACTCCAAAGTGCCGGTACTGCGACGCCTCTGTCGACGACGCCTCTGTGTGCGACGCCTGGCACGGTCGCAGGTTCAGACTGAACATAATCTTAGGATGCGACTTCTCTCCCCAAAATATGGTTTCCCTAATGCTCCGCTCGAGTGAACACTGGCTGCCATCAACCAAACCATCAACGAAATCATAAAAACGAAGGAATCAGAAGAAAGACGTCGTCAGGCCAATCAAGATCCACCCTAAGAAGCAAATACATACTTGTTAGTTAAGTTTCACAAGCTGTGGACCGAAGATCAAACTAAAGGGGCTAGAGGCCCCTTGTTTTATTTGTTATAAACTACTACATTGTATTACCATATATATATATATAACGTTTTTGTACTAAGTTCTGTTTATGAAATAAACGATGAGCACAGGGGGGTGAAATGACTCGCATCGGTTCCACCCCCAGCACTCGATTAAAAAATGTAAAAAAAAAAGACAGTAAATGTCACGAGTTCAATTCTTATGTCTCGTGAAAATGTTTGCACTTTTTTTAATGTACATGGTATTCAATAATATTATTTCATTAATTTAATCATTATTATTATTTAAAGCTTGAATTTATCATTTTGCTATCGGTTTTATGCTTCAATTATAATGGACCTTTTTAATTGTGTAATAAAATATTTATTTGTAATACCTTATATTTTTGGTCGAAACATGTGATTTACTCGCGCTGCGAGATTCACATACAAATCATAATCCCATCTGCAACATTATCAAAGTTTGTACAAAAACTAGGTTAGGCTTAGACTATAATTCCTCTTAGGGCGAAGCCTCATCCCCCCGAAAAGTGCCACGTAGAGGCACTCGAGTTTGTGAGTGGAGCGAAGTCCTAAAATTTTTAAAATTGCAGTTCCAACGTTTCGAAAAAAAATGCAAACAATTTTCATGAAAGATAAGAGATCAAAACCAAATACAAAATTATCGTTAAAAAAAAAAGTGCAAACATTTGTTTAATCTGTACGGGAGGATCGCACTCGATTCCGTAGATAAATAATCAATGCTGCTACCATTGCGCAACGCTTTAAAGTATTTTCGTATATGTATAAGGAGTATTTAAGAGTTTTAGTATAAAGTTATACACTTTAACTAACTATAACTTCAAAACTAAGTTCTCACGCCAAATTCCAATTTCACCATTATTTTTTTCACCCAAAATATGACAAAATACACCCCAAAAATTGCCAAATTTTAGGGTATCCCGTAAACTAGAAATATTCCAATAATTGTAAGCTTCGAGAAAGAATGTTCACATGAAATTTGGGCGAAAGAAACTGTTAATAATATTTCATAAGCTATATGCAAATTTGAATAGGAACTGTTATGTAAATTAAAATCTTTCAAACATTTTAGAATAAATGGTAGAGCTTGGAACCTAAATCATTTTTTTAGTTTCGGTTTAGTTCTGATTTAAAATTTTTTATATTTGATGCTGTCGGTTCTGTTCTGTTTTTTTTAATTTTACTTTTTTGGGGTTTCGGTTTCGATTCCGGTTTTTATAATTTAAAAAAAAATATTCCGGTGTTTATAAATATCGGTATTTATTAGGTTCTATGAATAATTGATGTTTGAAAAATAGGGATAAAGTGTAGGCGATAGCAACATTCAAAAATGCTGTAAAAACGAAATAATATAAAAACTATTAAATAAGAAAAGGTACTAAAAGAATGATCGGGAGACTCTGATTTTTGAAAAATGTTATACAATTACAAATTTGAACGACCCTGTTACAGTGACCATGCACCGTTACAGTTATAAGCTATATTCGCATGTACGTATCGCAGTGATATTGTCCGTGACGTCGTTTAGTTATCGTACACAAGACGGTCGGTTAACATGTGGTGGTGTATACATTTGTATTGTATACATATGCGCATTATAACTCAACCTTCTCGAAACGGCTTCATAATACGTGCATGTACCTAGCCCGTTCTCCCTTTAGCCGACCGGAATTCTTTTATATCCTGTAACGCTCAAATCCTACTACACCGCCTTCGTTACCCTTGCAGGGGTCGCTCGACATAAACGCTGTCCCATCCGCACACCCGAATCCCACTCTTCTCCCTCGACCACCCTCGAAACTGTATAATATACACGTATACTTACTGTTGTCGAGCAACTCGCATTTTCACCGTGATGTCTATACACGTCGAAATCCAAATACGCACCTGATCCCACGTATTCTGCGTATACCTTGTAATTTTCTCCTTCGCGTTCGTTCCTTCTCTAATCCGATTATACCTTATTCCTTACATTCTCACGCGCGCCAACGGCATATTTATTCGTATACCATACGATTTTTGTACGTTAACCTGTGCACATTCCGTCGTAGTATTTCTGTTTAAACTATATAACACGTTATTATACAACATACATTATTATATATTTATGTACGTCATTTCTTTGTATCGCGTGCTTGGGGATTTGTTCAACTGCCTTTTTCATATCTTTTTTTTTTTGTCGAACAGCCATTCATACATCGTCATCGTCCCCAAACATCGAGAACCGCTGGAAGTTTGAGGGGTCCTGTGTTTTAGTATGCTGTAACGTATAAAATTTATTTAAAAAGTTAGTCGCATTTTCAATAATTCATGGCAACGGTATTTAATGCATATTTTTATAATATGTCTTATTCGCAAAGCCTTATAAGTTATTTGATCAAAGGCTAAACTTTTGATGCGACGTTACATTTTTATTACACACAATTTGTGTACATAAAAAAATGATTGTTCAAAATATTAAATTGCTAAATCCCTCGATAAAAGTTAAGTAGAGCCGTAAATACCTAAATCCATGAGCCCGTAGAGCGTTCGCTAAATATTGTTTTTATGTATACATTTTATTAGGTAAATGTATTTGCTTGTGAAGAAAAAAAGTACATTAAACTTCAGTAAATCGATTGCATCGGAAAGTTTAAATTGGCCAAGTGACCGTGACGTCTAAAGAATACTTTAGATAGTAGATACGTAAAGAACTAATCAGTGTACTTACACCAACATAATCCTTCCTATGATATAGCCACATACTTTCGAATTCGTGTATAATCCATGTTATAAAAAACGTCTTATTGAAGTGCGCCGGTGAGTTTCTGTTATAAGAGTTAGGGGTTGATTCATTGACGCCTGTTTGTATACTAAAACAAAATAATTGCATTAGTTGATTGTAGCTGATCACATTTAATATCTCGTAAGATAAAAAGTTTAAGAGTTACTCTTTCACGTGATGAACTTTAAAACGAAATATAAATATACAGTAAACAACGCAGTATGCAAGCTCATCTCCTATAAAGTACCTAATATACGGATTTCAACTGTATATTGCAACCGTAATCTATGTCATGGTAAATAAACAGTAATAAATCGGAGACATTTGTTACGAAGTAATGTTAATCGACTAAATGAAAATTCTTATGTTGTTTAGCAATTGCGTATTACTTTAAATGTACATTATTTATTTATTTACTGTGTATACAACTATACCATTATTATTTCACTCTCCCTATTGTCTTTGTCTCTTGGAAATAATAGCGAGTTATTTATCTGTGTAACAACATTATGGAAATTGAGAAAATCGTATTACTCCTTGAAGAGATACGGTAACGCGAAATAGTGAGGAGATTTATTTTTTTAAAAATTTTGTTCATATACCTGTATTATCATACGGCCAGTGGAATATTTTAAAATGTTGTGTCTGTTTTTTGTGTATGTGTGTGGAGGGGTGTACAATTTTTCTAAAAAATAAGGGATTTTTTTAATATTATAAAAATACATGTAAGATATGAATTAATAATTATATTATTTTATTATTATTATAAATGCAAATAAAGAGTTATTTAAAACCTCTATAAATTAATGTCTTTATTCTTTGTACCCTTTGTAGCAAGTAATTTATGACTATTGAAATTTCTTTTTCTTCTAGGGAGGATACCAGACCTGGAATCTTCCCTGGGTTGTACCCTTATATGTTTACATGAAATTTAAATGTATTTATCTAAACCTAATGAATTAAAATCATTCAGTAGAAAAGTTTTAAGTGACTTAAATTTATTTATTCATTTCTTAGCCAATATTTTTGAAAGTTGGATTAAGTAGGTATTACAGTATTACAATGAAATCTTAGCAATTTATTTATTACATCCATTAACATTTTTAATCAAAATATTAAAACAATTACATTGTTGGGTTGATTTTTTTTCTTAAAAAGATAAAACTATCTATGTTGACTACTAGATGTATAGGATACTTTTATGTACGAGTATATAAAGCGAATTTTTCCAACTAGTCATTTTCATAGTCTCTTTCTTAATTCTCTTATAGTGCTAACGCAGGAAATTGCATTAACATTACTATACAAGTAGCGCATATATTTTATATATCCATAGTCCACATTTATACTTTTAAAAGAAGTAATTGATAATAGCAATATAATATATTATATAACATATTATGTTTACTAAAATTGTTCATAAAAATACCAAATGTTACGTACTCATTGGCATTCTAAATATTAAAGAATATCACGTTCTTCACGAGTATATAAAATTATTTTTATATCATCTCAGGTAAGTTATGCTTTGATTATTTCGTTAAATTACCATTTCAAGTAAATACGTTATTGATAAATCATGAATGCAACATTTGATGTAAACATAAATTTGAGTTGGAAAGTGCCATTATTGGATTCTTACTAAATATATTTACAGACTCTTAGTTTTTTGCCATTTAGTGATGTAATAACAAATGAGTACTGATAATTATATTAATAAACTATAAGTATCTTACAATGATTTTTAGATTCTGAGTGAAGAGTTTGTTTATATTATCACCAAATAAAAACTTAGATAAAGATACTAAAGATAACAAATGGGTTCTAGTTTAGTGGTCATCATTCATTTTGACTTGCAACCCACTTTTCTTACCATACTCTTTTCGGGGCCATGTTAATTTTGTTAGTCATGAAAACAAAAAAAAAATTTTTAAATTGCTTAATGTATGCCAATGTAGAAGTGTTTTTATAACAGAAAACATTAACATTTATGTATCTGTAGGTATCTAGGTAATATTTAATTTTTATTTTAAGTAATGAAAAAAAAAAAAGTAATAAATGTAATGATACAAAAAAAAGTATAAGAAATAATACAAAAAAAAAATGAGTTTGATATTTGCCCCGGATTATTTTCACACACAATACCTCCACCTCGACTCAATTTCATGTAATGGACTTTATAGAGAAATAACATGTAAATGAGTTTTATGAATTAAGTTGGACAATTGCTACAACCATTACTTCATTTGATTGTTCATTCTTTTTTTTTTATTTGAAATTAAGGCTTCAACAGCAAAGGTTATTAGTTATTATATGTTACATATTAAATGTGTTAGGTACCTATTAGGTTGAAAATTACAATATTACATATTAAATATTATTTAAATAAAGTTAGGTTAGAAATTTCTATTTACTTATAATATTTGTGATACCTAATAATGTGATAATTTTTAGAGTTTGGCTTTCATCAATTGTTTCTACTATACTGGATGACATGTTCAAGTATATTGTTTATATTCCTCTACTTTATGTTCGATAGTGTATACTTTGTGACATGTGTCGCATATTGGTTGAAGCTTACTTCTAATTAAGTATAAGTGTATAAGAAAGGAGTGTTCATTCTACTCTAAAAATATAAAATAGTACGGTTTCGGGTTTATTCAAAAATTATTTTATCCGATATCATGTGACATACATCATTTAATATCATTGATTATAAATACAATTATTTATAACTAATGATAATTTATATGAATATGAATTTTTTAAATTTTAAACAAAAGACTTATAATGACTCAATCTTACGGCTTACATGACTTGAAATTCGGTTACGACCTATTGGTTGTAGACTACTGTTTTAGTTGGTACTGCGGAAAAATTATTTTTGTAATTACTTAAAAGTTTCCCGAGAAATTGAGAAAAATAGCAAAAACATTAAATTTCATTCAAGAATCAAACACTCATTACTAATAATTGCCTATTATTTTGTAACGCACTCTTTATTATCTGTGTATATGATTTCGGTTAGAAGAATAGCTTCCATCATCACAATCAAAAGAGATTTCTGATAGAAAATGTTGTCTAGTTAGTACTTTGAGGGAGGTCTGACGAAAAATTTAAAATTGCAATATTTATGGTGTATCGGTTTTTGATAAAATTTAATTTTTTTTTTATCAGACCTCAAAAAATAAGAACTGTAGAGACTTGAACATTTAAAATTTTCATTGAATTTTAATATCACTGTTTGCTATGGACAACATTATTTTTAAAAGATTTTTTTGAGCTATTTATAGAAAATTAAAATGTTGATGTTTTCTTAGCTTTTTTTGTCGGAAATGCTTATTGAACAATTTTTTTGGTTTGACAAAAAGTCTTGAATATGTAATATATTGTATCTCATACATATCATACATATAAAAATACAAAAATACATATTAATGAATGATAAAATAAAAATAAATATTGCTCTTAATAAAAAAAAAAAAAAAAATGCTAGAGCTTGAATATTAAATTTTGTCAAAACGAATCACGGAAGTTCATTACATATTTATAGTAAAAAATTAATTTTTAAATTTATGGACCAATAATTGTATTCAAGATTTTTATATATAAAAATCAAAATCAATTAAATTAATTAAATATAAAGCAAAAATAAAAAATGTACAGGATAGTTGCAATAATGTTTTATAATCGTTATAAAATATAATTTTGAGAAAATCGCATAATTCAAAGATTTTTCATTAAATTCCATAAGTTATTTAATTAAAGATATTTTATAGTTTCGTAATATTTTAATGAAATTTCTTCTGTTTATAGGTACTTGAAATTTTCGATTTTTCTAAATTTTAGATACCTTATTTTGAGAAAGTTAAGAATAATACATTTTCAACTTAACTTTTTAATGAATTTAGGAAGTTCTTCTACATCAACCATCTTTAAAAATTTAAACTGATTCATCTAAATTCTTTAGATAACGTGAGTATATTTTGTATTCATTAATGTTAATACATTGATTTATTTATAGCACTTATTTTGATAGTTGTAATATTGTAATTGTTGATTTGGTCATTGATTACTGCTTTAAATCCCTTCTTAATCTTCGACGCAGTAGTTCAATCTTCGTGTTTAATAAATTACAGGGTTTAATTCATTTTATAATAAAGTAACAGTACCCTCATATTGAATAAATAAAACCTAGCAGGTAAGCTTCAAATTTGTTGTATTATTGTTTATAACCACTATGATCACTAATACCAACAGACCCCAACGATTTATATGAGTATTTATGCGATTTCTAATAGAGGTTTAGTGCCATCTATAAATTATTTATAAAATATAAATTCTACGTATTTCAATTTTAAGTATGATTATTTCCATAAAATCACTTTGAGACCACGGTTTTCGTATACCTATTCATTACAACTAGTGTTGTACGTCAATAATCTAGTCATTGCAGTACCAGATTTAAAGTGCAGTGATTCTTAGGGTCACCCACACAGCATAAATATAATTAATTGATATTTAATTAATATGAAAAAAAATTAAAATGTATGATACATTTTCAATATCATTGATTATAAATTTTCAAATATTGAATTAAGTATAATAATTATCATAAAATTGACGGTTGATTAAACCCCTTCATATTGACTCGTTATGTACCCGATGCTGTAGAACATCGTTAAACAGTGAATCCCACGCAGGAATTGTTTTCTAATTAAGGCTTTCGTCGATGGTTGGACCTGCTTCAGTTTTTACTGGTATTAGTTATGTTGGTTAGTACCTATCAATGTCCCTTAGTGCCAAAACAAAAGAGCTATGATGATATAGTTTATATTTGTCTAATGCATAATTCAATAATCACGTAGTATAATACTCGTTGTTTTTTTCCACCGCGTGTGTAGCAGGCCTAGAATTTGGTTACCCATTAGTATAAATGTCTCCATATCTGTAAGCGATAAACGCTGAATATCCTCGATACAGATACGATTTATTTTTATTTCTATAACGTATTGTAATTACCTTGCAAGGATTCTATTCTAGTCGCATAAATATTGTAGTTATTGTGAGTTCGTTTATATCTACCTC